GTTACAACTCTGAAATGAACATTTAGGGCTTTTCTTGTAAATTCTATAACTTTGTAAAGAAAGATCGTGTAGATCTGGGGGATGTCTGATTTTAATCAGAAATTTGCGGGCTAGAAGTATGCCTCATTAAGAAAGGTTTTTGTTCTTTTTTAGACTTTGTGAAAAACTGGTTTTCCAGAAAACTAGTCTCTGGAGGCCTAGGGGTCCGTCTCAGATTGATATTGAACATGGTCGGCTACCTATAGTCCACTTCGTTGTTGAAAAGAAACCAAGTACTGGCTTCATTACGTAAAGGAAGTAACAAGCACGATAACAGCAGCGTGCTTGTTATTTTGAAATTATTGCCCATTAATCGTAATAATATTAGTAGAGGAAATACTTGTCCCAAATACTCCGCTCCAAGTAATTCGCTAGGGAAAGATATTATAGCCGTACAAATTTTCAATTGGTAGTAGTTAACCTTTGAAGAGATACATCTTATGTAAATTCTATTTTGCTCTAATTAATAGACAACGTTACTACAAATCTCATTCAGATTGCGTCGTACTTTGTCCTCTCAGTTCGTCCCAAATTGTCTTCTCCATTCGTCCCACAAAGCTTTTTTTCTCAGTTCATCCCATCACCGCTTCTCTCTCAATTCATCCCATATATTTTTTTCTCAATTTGTCCAAGATATCTATGCTCGCGCCTCAGAATAAATAAAGTGTTGTATCATCGAACAGTTTAGTCGATAGTAATGGTATCCATGATACCATGTGCATATTCTTTGACTACACGGAAAAATTGAGACATTTAATTGAATATGGTAAAAACTTGAATGTTGAAATGAATCCACATCACCTGACCTGAGATTTCGAACAAGCCACGATAAATTCTTTTGTCGATATTTTTCCACATATCAAAATCAATGGCTGTTTCTTCCATTATGCTCAATCGTTGTGGAGAAAAATCTAGGAAGTTGGTATGATGCGTCATTTTGAAAAAACAAACGACAATAATAATGTAATACCGGAGATGTAACTTAGTCGATTATTTAGTCGTACAACCCTCGAGAATCCAATAATCCAATACCTCGAAAAGCATCTTTATGTTCTTATTTTCGCTTTTCAGCTCTCATTGTTTGTCCAATATAACTGTCTATACACCCACAACAGTCATATATATCACCGTACGCAAGAAGTACGCACAATTATATTAAAGCTAATCAAGTGTAAACTAATATGGGACGAACTGAGAGAGAAGTATTGATCGGGCGAACCGAGAAAAAAAGCTTCGTGAGACGAACTGACGAGACTAAACCCGTGGTACGACTTAAACAACATTTCACCACATTTTTTCCAGTTGCAGAATGAAACGTTAGCGTTGACATACAGATTCACAACTTGAGTACTCTGTGGTAAAAACCTTACCGAATCTATTATACACATTTTTGTTATTTGGGGATACCCTCTTTTCAGTTTTATCCGAAACCACTATTTGATAATGACACAAAGCAATGGCTTTAAGAAGCTACAGTCTCGCTCTTCTGAAAAATCTATCAGTGAATTCTCTATCTGTCGAATAGCTTGAGAAAGATAAGAGGGAGAGAATAATTTTTTGTTAGAACTACATGTACGTGCTCACGGTTAACAAACATTCAAATGTGATAGACGAGTTTCTAATAATTATGATACTCATAATCGCAATCCAATAAATATAAAAGACGTTGGATGTTTATTAAGGGCCCCCTCCCTTCTAAAAATTTTTTTTCCCAGAACACTCAATCTTACTGAAATTTTTATTGAATATGTATCTAACCATTGATAGTTCTCAGTAAAAATTTAAGCAGCTCATAATATTGACTTTTTCGCGAGTTATTGTAACATCAAGGGTCAAAAAGTAGGTGTCCGTGTGTCAAAGATTTTGTTTTCAGTTTTAATGATACGGACCTCGGGATGGTGTCAAAATGTAGAGAAGACCTGCCCCTACAACCTAAAAAAGCCGGATTTTTGAGAAAAAAAAAATTAATTTTTTTAGACAGTTTTTTCGAAAAACCTAGATTAATTTTTTAGAAAATTCGAGTTTTTTGTAAACAAATAAATTGAAAACAAAAATTCCGNCTTTGACGCACAATCAGGTAAAACAAAAAAAACAGTTTCGAGAAAAACGCAAAACAAGTTTCTCCTTTGATTATCGCGGTTTTTTTTGGAAAGTGGTACAGAGAAAAATCTGAGAGCAGTTCGTTGTAGGTTATCGGCTATGGCGAATCGAATGAGCACATGTAGAGACATGTGCGATGTACCTTTTCCCATATGTAAGCGTTATTTCCACGGAAAACCCATAAAAAATCAATCAGTTTTTGATGTTGGGTGCCTCAGAAAAACCGCTGTAAAATCCTCAAAAACCATCGTAAAACCAATAAATCATGCATTCGAAAGCAGATATATTGGGCTATACAACTATGCATAAATGTCCAAATCGATTTTTTTGTCGAAAAATGTTTTTTTTGAGGGGTGGGGGACCCTTAATGAAGATTTATTGATGTACTAAGCTCAGTTTTCAAGAAGTTGATGCTATTTCTAAGAATTCCAATGTAGAAAAATAACCCGCAGAATGTGCCATGTTGGTGAACAAATTTGAGATGCCATGACTAAGATGAGTTCACTGACACTTCTGCAAATTTCATGTACAAGGGCGCGTGCCAGATGGGATATACCGTGAGCTGTGTTATGTCAACAAATGCCTTACAACAGGACACATAGTGCCTTTGTAGAAGACAAATTTTTTATGCTCTACAATGTATCTCCGACAGAATGTGATCATTCCTCTCTTTGGTTTATGATAGCAAGTTCAAAATTGTACTTATACAATAATCCAGAAACATGTTTTGGATGTTTCACCTGTTTTGCTTGCCAGAGGAAAGTCTAAACTGTCCAATGTAAATTAAAGAAGTCGTTGATTTTCGAAAAAATTCATTATTTAAAATCCGAAAGAGCATTTCGAACACCTTTAAATGTACTAATTGGTCATTCTTCAAACTGTATGACGAAATAGCGTTTAACATTTGTACAAGAATTCATTGTTTCTGTTCATCCATAGGAAAAGAGGATGGTTTAAAAATCGATGAACATATAGCAGTTTCTAGACATAAAGTACAACTATTATATTCTTTCAGAATAATAGATCACAAAACGTATATTTGTTAAAAAAAGACATGATATTGAAAAAATATATGTGTAATCTTAATGTCATTACAGACTATTTACATTTTATTTTTAGAAAATTATATGACAGATAATAATGTAGCCATTTCCGTTCAATTTATTTCCGTTCTTCTTTTGTGGCATAACTATCATGATACGTTGACTAATACTTTCCGGTGCATGCAATATATAGAAGGATTTCTAATAGTTTTATACCAGTAGAAACAGGCGATTTTTTATTTCAAAAAATGCTGTATACTGCATGAAAATAGAAACCTAATTATTTTTTTACAGTCTAAATTATCTTTATCTGTGTCTCATAAAACATACCTCGATTTGTCTTTTATTCTTCTTGAATATGTTACATAAGAATCTTTAAGAGAAAGAGATTAGCAGTATGAATATATTCCATGTAATAGAATCTATATGAGAAATAAATATGTACATTATACTTCTGAGACTTTCCGTAGAGAAGCGTCATATTACTCAATATAAAATTTATGTATGAGTCTTCAATACAATATAAATAAGAAAGTTTTTCTTATTTATTTAATGCCAATAGACAAATGCATAATTTTATTAGACATTCTTTCGAAAGCATTTGTTATTGTCAATATCTAAAACATGTCTACTATAGAAAAAACTCGTGAAATGAAATACATGAAAAATGTTTAAGAATGAAATGTCATTAATATTCAAGAGGAGAAAAAAAAACAAAGCTGAAATTTGAAAAATATTTTATTGTTTATATCTTTTTAAGTGCAGTTAAACTCTTTCCATGTATTTGTTTTATTTTGTCCAATTTTTTTTTTTTTTTTTTTAGAGAAACAGTGTGCACTCATAAAAAATATTCTTTCATTTATTTATGAAAATTAAAGTAAGTGATCCCATCACTTATCAGAACCATACTAAAATCAAAACAAAACGAAGTAACAAGTTCAACAGTTTTTTGTTTTCTTGTTTTGTATATTATATTCTCATATATAGATATATTCTTGATGAAACAGTATTCAGACATTATAGAAACTATGATTACATAATAAAATCATCTCAAATTTACTTCTCTTTTTAATAATTATTTTTAGATGTTTTTAATTTTTCAAAAATAAAAAAATTTAAAAGACACACGCTTCTACACAGGTATTATTGCTAATTAATTATTATTTTAATGAATTTCTAATTCAACTACTACCAACTACTAACATTATCATCAATAAAATTTTCTTTCCGAAATGAAGTTAGAATCAACAATAACTATCATCCTATTTTATACTTGTTTCTTACAACAACAAAAAGACGATCATTTCTGTACAAAAAAACAACAACAACAGAATCATTAGCTCAATTTCACTAGCAAATGTGAGAATAAGAAGGGAAAGATCTACGCATATTATAAACTAGAACAATTTTTTCATAAAAAAAAAAAAAAACTTTTACAAATGTATATGACTAATCTGAAAGGTTCTTAGTCACTATTGAGTTTAAATCTAAAGTGTTACTTTTAAATAATTCATAAAATAGTTTTATAATAATGTAACGTTTGTGAAAAGAAAAAAAAGTATTAAATAGATAAATAAATGTGATTTTATTCAATTTTTTATATTTATCTATTTATTTTAGATCACAATATGTCATCATCAAATTCATCGTGTAGCACTGGATCATGTGAAATATGTGACGGTGAAAATTTAGCTGTTATATTGGCATTATATTGGGTTATTTATTTGGTGATAAATGCATTAATATTTGCTGGAGCTCTATATGCATTAAGAAAATGTTTTGAAAAATCATCAGATGATGGCAAGAAGATAAATCCAGAACAACTGTCACGTACAAGTAGTCGTCAACGTTTAGTTAAATCTACACATAAATAAATATTTCATATTAATTTTTTATAAATGTACGTAAAAAGATCATATGGTAAATTTTTATTTTTTATATTTTTATTTTTGGAAGAATTAAATGTAAATAAATGATTTAATCAAGAGAATTTTTTTAAAAAACTAAATATTTTTGTATATTTGATATACATTTTTGTACAGTTTATAGAATGATATGAGTTTATGTATACATTTTCTTGTTCTAACTTTATTCATATTATCTCAAAATAATGAATAATTATATCATTTAACTGTAGTAGACAAGCAAAACAAAATAATTCAACCATAATCTTAATTTATATCAGCTTAATTTATTAGTTAGTATGAGTATGATATATCACAAATTTATCCATTATAAAATATATTAGATAAAAAACAATATCAGAGATTTTCTTAACTTGATCATTATTTCCACTGTATCTATTGATGTGTAAAATTTCATGACAAAAAAAGAAAAAGAAAATAAAAAATAAAAAAGAAGAAGAAGAAGAAGAAGAATATAACATTCTCTTGATTAAGAAACATATAGAAATAATACAACAAAGAATGATTATTTTCTATATAAACTTTCATAATCTCAATGATTAATATTTAATATATACATTTGTTAATTTTTTTATTGTTAATTAGCTTTATCCCAGTAAAATAGTACATAATACATTTAATAGATATAAAATCTTCTATATCTTTAATAGACATTCAACTTTTTAGATAATTAATAATATTATTTGCGTGATCCATATAACTTTATGTAAACTTTGATCACTTTTACCTACAATTTATATTATTTTAAGATTATAAATAATATATTGTTTCGTTTTATGAGAAAAACAGATTAATTTGTTTGCGTGTATGTATATGATTTATTTAAGCGTATATATATCGGAGGTGAAAAAAAAAAAAAAAAAGAAGAAAATCTTATTTTTATTTGATAAACTCTCATTAGTTTTTTTTCCTTTTTTGTTGAAAGAAATGCGTAAAATTTTACTAAGTACTATAAGATTATCATGAAACCTATAGAATACTAAAAGTATATATGAAAGAGAGTTTTTTTGACTATTTTTATCTATTTTCTAATTGCATACTATTTTACCTACGATACTTGACAAATAAATAATATATCTATGATTTCTAATACAAACGGATAAATTTTTATTATATTCTAATATACATTTCAATGTAGAAAAAAGTAATTATGACTGAATAATACTTGAAAATTTCTATTGTTTATCAAACTATCTATCTTAAAATTAAAATAGTATATGATTATGTTTTATGATCTTTGGGATTAGTGTTTAATATAAGTGCTCATTAACGTTACAATTTTTATAATTGAACAGTTAATATTCATTGTATTTGTTTTTGAATGCAAAAAATATACATCTTAGAAATAATTCATGAACATTGTAAATTTGTTTTAGTATGAGTAGGTGTTTTTTGCGTGTCCTCTCGATTCGTCCCTAATTGCTCTCTCTCTCTCTCTCTCTCTCAATTCGTCTCACAATTTTTTTTCTCAGTTCGTTCTAAATAATTCATCCCACTTCTTTTTAGTCTCAATTCATCCCACTTTTTAAATATTTATTCGCCGTAAGTTCTCTTATAACTTCCAAAAAATGGAAACAAGAAAAATATTAATATATTGACTTTATTCCATATGGATTTTTACGGTCCTTCCGCATTTTATGTCTAATTGTAGATTTGTAAGAACTTCCTTTTTTCATAAGTGTCAAGTAAACTTTTCAATTTTTTATCAGTTTCATCATAAATTATTTTTTACGTTTACGAGTTTGAACTTTAGATGTTTCTGCGTGATGGTGCTGAAAGCGCATGTTCTTGACGTAACAGATCAATAAATTCATGAATATGTGAATGAACAGGAAATACATCTTCTAAACGTTTATTATAATCCTCCTCTACATGATTGTTGGTTCTCGGTAGATCATTTATTATCACATCATGTACAACTTCTTGGGAATAAATTTTGGAAATTAGTATTACTTCATTTTGTGCGCGTTTTCTCATAGTCCCAACAGTTATATCAATAATGATCTTACTTTTATCTTGTGTACACGAATGTTGTGTTTCATCTTTCATGATGACTAAGTCTTGTAAATATAACGAAATGACACTTGTACAATTACAATCTCTGCATCTCCCCTGATGACTCTTCCTATTACTTCATTTTTTTTTGTAAACTAGTAACCATTTAAATTCGGCACAGGTTTACGTTTTTCGGTTTCTGTGAAACTTAACATCGTAAACTTCACTCACACTGCAACTTTTGGTCAAATGTAAATTTCTACTGTCTGCTTTAGACACGTTTTCGTACATATTTTTATTTATTTTAAGCTGACCAACGTGGACGAAATCGTTGTTATTTTGAAGAACACAAAGAGAACTTATGCAAAATAAGTATTTAAAAAATGGAACAACTTGAGAAAAAAAATTGTGGGATGAATTGAGAGAAAGTAATTAGGGACAAATCGAGAGTAAACTGATTTTTTGTGTGACCGTAATGACCAAATATTTATGCCCGTTTAATCAGCTTTTGTGCTTAGTCAATTTTTTTGAACGTAAAAAGAAATATGTCCAGTTTTAACAGATAAATATAGATAGATTTGTGCTCAGTTTGTACAATGTGCATAGAACATTATATAGGTTAGAGTTTATTATACAGTTCAAGCATATCTTATGTATAAACAGAAAATTAGAAATGATCATTGACTTGTCTATGATTTTGAATTTAGAAAGAAACTTTCAACTAAATAAAAAAACATTAAACTTCAACTTGAAAAGTTGAATTACAGAAAATATGTGTGTAAACATACTATTGGTATAATGATACATTTGGGACATCATATTATAAAGATCCCGGAAAACTACAAAATTTACAGAAACGATGTGAAAGATCAAACTAAAATGGAGACCTCTATGTAATTCTGATACTACATCAGTAAATAGATACTAATAAAAATCTTTCTCGTAAACAAAATCAACATCTCCATTACAACAATGTTCTTAATCTAATTAAAACCAGAACCATTTCATTTTTCAGCCACAAAAGTGTAAAAACATATTTATGTACTTTGACTGAACATAAAAACTGATAAACGGGCACAGATGTTCGATAATTATGAGCATAAAAAAGAATTCTTCCTTTCTTTTATGAGAATAAAAATCAGTTTCATCAATTTTTCTACCTGTTTTAATAGCTTTATCAAGAAAATTTTCGATGAATGTGATCAACAATTTAGCTCTTATCATCTAGTATGGTATAATTTTGTTACAAATTCTGTTTAGATATGATTTTGTTGACAAGTACAACTAATCGTTGTACGAAGAATATTGCGTCAGTATTTGAGACTCTAATAATTAAATCATTTCAGTAAGCTGAGCGTGTATGTTAGCTTGTGTCTAATTAGCTCAATGATTTGAGCTTCTAGCGTGTTATCAGATATTCTCGATTCCATTCTTGATCAAGACATATATTTTCTATTCATGTATTTGTCTGTCAAAGTATATTTCATACTTAGTCATGTTAAAATTCATTATCTTGTTTCATCTACAAATCCTGTTTCACAATTCATCTATTTATCAATTAAAAATTACAATAACAAACATATCAAATTCTCGAGAGATTATATATGCTTGTAATGATGTTGGCAATATTACTATGTATATCTTAGAATTAGTTTTCTTTGATCATAGTCAATTTTACATCGCCCTTTTCCTGTGTTTTGAGATGTTTTCTGATATTTGAGAAGCTATATTTACGAAAGACGAATATGTCATCATGATCATTCGGGTCAGTACGTTCTATGAAAAAATTTTTGTTTTTTAAACATCTTTTATTCGTGAAATAATGATACAGAAAAAAATACAATAACCAGAGAAAAACACTTATACGGCAATTCGGGATATCTCATTGTATGTCGGATTCTACATGAACACGCTGAGTAGAGAGATTATACTAGTGTTGATGAAGAGAGGGAGAGAATTTGGAATCGACTTATGAGATCCACTCTATCCATGTGATATTCTGCTGATGAAGGTTTAGTACATCATGGCTGATTGAATCTTCCAGTGGTATCGATGAATTGGAGGATGGCTGTATAAACTCCTATCAGGTCCTGCTTAAGCAGTGCTCAGATAGATTTATACTTCAAAAGTATATGCTCCAATGTAATATGATTATCTTTAAGGACAATACGCAGCTGCTCAAACATAAAGTTACGAGACTTATCATAAAGAGCACAGTCCATGAAAAAATGTTTAGTAATCTCTCTGTTAAAGCCACATGCACACGCCGGTGGTAAATTCTGTGAAATTTGGAGAGAGAGCAGTTGAAAATCGTAAGAGTTTATACAGAAAATGCTTCAGTTTTCCGATATCTACAATGAAATAACATCGGGTGTGTTGAATTTGACAAACGATAGTCATAAAAACTTTATAATGAGTGAAAGAATTGCTGTTTAAAATAGTTTCATTACAATTTAATCATGTATTGTCCTTTTGCTGTCATTATTATGTCAAATTAGTACGATTTTCAATGTATTATACTGTGTTTTGATATGCATGGTTGCGAATCTTTATTAATTCATGCATTATTAAATAAATTATATTTTTAATTATCACTAATATTATCCAATGTGTTTTTTTTCTATTTTAAGCATTTCATATCATCGTACATCAAAAACAATTTTCTTTTCTTTTTTTTTTCCGAAAGATATGACATATATCGAGATTTTATCCGAGAGAGAAAGGAAATGTTCTAGAAAAGAGCGAATTTTTTTTCTTTATATCTCTATATATTATGAAAAGAAATTTTTTTTTTTTTCTTTCATAGAAATTGATTTATTCATATATTTCAATCTTAGCACACTATCATTACTCCAACAATAGATTAACATGATTTCTTTTTAATTTTCTTTTCAGTATAGTTGACACTCAGTGAAATATTTTAAGTGAGTATCGCTCCAAATTATTTTTTCCAATATACAAGAGTGATCTTCTTTGCAATGATAGATTAAATAACAACTACTATTTTCATTCTTACTAAGTGTGTCGTCCAACACCTTTACTCTGTTATTCACCGTTGTCACATTCTGCGATCAATTGTCGTCAGCCATCATTCTCACTATTTTTCAAAAGTTGATTTTTGTAAACGTAAGATCAATTTGGATGAAACGTTTCAAAAAATGTTGGACCATGCCGAAGTATAGGTACGATAAAGTTATAAATGCTTCCTTCCTTTACAGAGAACTATCGTACGATCAGAGGATAAAATGTGTCTGTTTGTATTTGTTAAAAATCTCCGTTCACGTAGATATAAGAGATTTGGATTTTGGTTTTGAAATGATGCTAATAGATATAGGTGGAGGAAGACAAAGATCAATTCTTGGGTTTGCGATTGTTGGCAGATAAAGAGATTTCTGAAGAGTTCAGAAATACATAGGCAGGTTATGACTTTTACACTTTCGAGCCCTACCATACTTTTGAATAGCAAAGTGCCAAAAACTGCGTCCCTTTGTACTTTAGATATATTTGTTAACTTCATTTTAAAATCAATTCGAGCTCTCATGCATTTTACCGGACAAAAACGTGTGGTAAATACAAAACAAGTGTTTTCTCACAGATTTTCTCACTTTTTCCAGAATCAAAGATCATTACGTTCTCACCGTCCTGGCTTTATTGTCCCCATCGAGTTATGCAGGAATTCATGTTGTTTTCAAAAGACGCCATGTCAGTTTTGTAAGGCAATACGATCCGTTCTTCTTTCGTCGACAGTAATTAAATTATTCTTGTTTTGTTGGCACTAATTTCTTGCTCGATTCGTCGACACCTTTTTTATCTTGATTCGTCGACAAAATGTTTTTAATCAATTAAGCTTGATTCTTGTTTCGTCGATACTTTTTTTGATCCGTTGTAAAATATGGAATTATAGTTGCAAATTAGAAAGTTTTTATTTCAAAATGATCATGCATACAATATAGTCTTGAAAAACATTTGACAAAAAGATTAAAAACTTTTTAACATCTAGACTATTGTTTCTATTACACAAAAAGTCATTTAAATTTATACTATTTTGTTTATATCTATCTTTTAAATAATGTAAATGGTGATTATGATCAACATATAATTTCTTACGTGATGTAAACTATTTTGCTTTGTATAAGTTTTTTTTCAAGGATATACATTTTTTATTATTAAATACAACTGCTTTCTGTACACTATTTTTAGTTTTGATAAAGAAATCCATTGCTCAGTTGATCTTTTCTTTTTAAATTTTATCAAATTTTTTCAAATTTAAAATTGTAATATACATTTTTATAATTGCAACTATAATTCCATGTTTTACAACGAATCAAAAAAAAGTATCGACAAAACAAGAATCAAGCTTAATTGATTAAAACCATAGTGTCGACGAATCAAGATAAAAAAAGTGTCGACGAATCGAGCAAGAAATTAGTGTCGATGAAACAAGAATAATTTAATTACTATAGACAGAATAAGATTACCCCGGGCAATACACCCCAAACACGTTTTTATCAAGAATTAGGCTTAGTAAACGACAGCTCTGAACTTAGCAAAATATGTTAAAAAGGACTTTCCAAATTAAATTTATAATTGTTATACTTACTATCACTCATGTTCAAAACTTCAAGATCTTTAAATCATACTTTTTCAAGATTTAAGAATTCAAAGAAAGCAGGATATCGAGTTAGTAAGATACTACACTTCAGAATCAGAACAAGTCTTTCACTACAGGTAACTTTTGATCATGAATCCTATGTCACCTGTGTATTATCTTTGTTTGGTTTTGTAAAAAGTAGAAAGACCTGTAGGAAAACATCAAAATGGAAAAATTGATTCTCGATACACAAAATACCTTATTTTTCGAAAATTTTGACTCGAAGATGAATTGTATGAATATTTATATTCATATGTTTCTGCACGTACTCAATTCGATATACATATTCATACTGTCGCATATGTTTGATCTAAATACGTTACTAGAATCTGCTAAGTAAACTCTTTTGTTGCCAAGATCCCGTCTGTTCCCTGAAAAAAATGACGTGCTTTTCCGGTTCTGCATATTTAAAGGAATTGTTGAATAGGATTAGGAAAAGGAAATGTCGGCAGTCTACGGCTCAATTGTAACGCACACAATTTTTGCGTAGTAAAGAAAGAAGAGTTCAAAAAACAAAACAAAAATTTGACATTAATAACATGTAAGTTTACATCACTATCATCATCAACTAAAAGACAACGACCTCATTTACTCAAGATGTAAAAGAAAATATGGATAATAATAATAATATTATGATAATATATATATAATATATAATATATAATAGCTAATGATGATTTATGAAATCAACAAGAGAATATTATGCGCTGAAATACAGTCAGATAAATTCGCGTTTTGATTTATAATAAAAGACTATGATAAAAAACCGACAATTAATATAACTGCCAGATCTGATTACGAGGCATGATGTTTTTTGTCCTTTTGCACCGAACCTGTAAGTTCAAGTTCGTAAAAAGAAACTGGTCGCTCTGACTCATTGACCCCGTTTCGTTTTTGCTTCTAGCCTGTCTTACTTACCAGACGAGATGGGGTTCAGAGGGTGCCCCGCATGACCATGCTGGGTACACACGCTTTTGCTAAACATAGAGGTATTTTACGTATTTTTCTTTCACAGAGCTTCTAGAAACTTGTTAAAAACTTCGAAAAAGTAATTTTTCTATAGATTAGTGTAGGAATTTCAGTAAGACTCCAACATTCTATCGGATAGCAATAACCAATAAACATTTTTCTGATATAGAATTCTAGAACAGTTTTTGATGCTGATCACAAATCTAATATCTGTTCGTCTCTGTACGGTTTTGCAGAAATGCTGTTCAGATTTTAGATTTTTAACACTCATTTTGTCTAAACAAGTTCTGTTAGTGCCCGATTGGATAATAGATCGAGTTATCTATGTACGGGACATCCGACTTAAATATAATAATTCAGTAAAAAATTCATTGTTAGTTTCAGTAAATCGTGCACAGATAACTCGATCAATTATCCAATCGGGCACTAACAGAGCTTGTTTAGACAAAATGGGTGAGTTTGTAACGATCTTGAATTTGAACAGCGTTTGTGCAAGATCGTATAGAAACGAAGAGATATCAGATTTGTCATCAGCATCAAAACTTATTTAAAATCAAGTATATTTCAAATATATTTCAAAAAAAAAGCGTTGAACGCTCTCCTCATGAGGTCCAGCATGAAGAATTTGTTGAGAGTAGTTTGAAATTTTCCAGAGTTTCTGAGTTCCACGCGTTTTGGAACTGATTTCGAATCGGAGTTTTAGACACTTGTCTTCTTCTAGGTTCTCATTGTCAGAGAGGATGTGAGGCGTCTTACATAAATTCCCGTACGAGTTACACAGCCAGGTTATAGGAGAATAAAACAATTCTATTGATTCAACTGATAATTACGGCAGACATCGGAGGTAGAATAACGCCCAGAACGCTGACTGATGGAAGACGTGAGGTGTCCTTCGTGGATTGAAAAAGTAGCCCTTAATTTCTAAAAAATTCTTTTACTTATAGACAAGAGATTGAGTGAATCACAGATGAACGGTGCTTGATTTAAGTCAATAAAATAAAAGGCACAATAATGACTGGTTCAATAAACATAATAAACGAAACAAAGAATCATTTATCCGATCGTGTTTCGTTTGATGCGTATGACAACATCGATCAACAACATCTGTCAGCTTTATTCCAACAAATTTTTTCAAAACTATCCAACGAGAATCAAACAGAACTACGTACTACTTCCGTTGATGGTAGCATCTCTACGATAATTACTTTATTACCATCTTCATTCAACGATCAACCATTTTCTACTATCTGGAGTGTCATATCACTATGGTTTGTTCTAATTATTAATCCGATTCTAGTAAGTACATAGACTAAAACAGATTTACTCATTGGCATCAGTTTCTTTAAACCACATAGTGTATTCTGAGATAATAAGAGGCATATTTTGCAGTTTTCATCGTATTTTTATGAGTTCTTCGCTGTTCTTTATCATATGGCGGTTCTTTATTGTTTTTCTACATGTTCATGCAAAAATCTTCTGTAGATGTTCTGTAATTTTCGAGCCAGTACTAGTCGAATGTCACTTTTTACCCCATGGTTCGTTCAAGGTTTACTCTCACTTCGTCCCAAATTGCTCACTCTCACACCTGCCCACCCCTTTGGTGTTGTTTGATCTTACAATGTCAATTTGGGACGAACTGAGAGGACACCTTTGTTCAAATACGTTTTGAATTGAGTTTTAATAAACAAATCGGTATTATTTTTATATGCCGGGTAATTAGATTAAAAGCACACAACTTCCACTGATGAATTTCAAATTATCACGAAGATAGCTCTCTAGCTGTTATTTGTTATTGATGTACTGTAGAGACAGTCGATATCTTCTCGCCCGTTATTGCTAGATGTTTTTATTGCCGTGTAGCTTTTTCAAAATTTTGTATTTCTACAATGTACAACTTAAATAACATAAAAGATATAGAAACATACTCGTTTATTTAGATAGTATTTGGTGTGATGGGTAACTTATGTGCAACATATATTCTTCTCCGATGGAATATCGCAAAATTACCTGTGAGTTTTTACACAATTATGTTGAATATTTCTGATACATTAACTCTGTTAATACCAGTATTCATATTTTGGTTGGATAATTGTGTAAATCGTAAAGGTCATCAAGGTTATTTTCGCGATAAATCAAATTTTTTATGGTAAGTTTTAAATCACTTTTGTACACTTATGATCATGATTTTTGTTTGTATAGTAAAGTATTGATGTGTCCCGATCAATTATTTGCTGCATTGAGTGCTTGGTATATGTGTACAATAAGTTTTAATCGATGGTGTAGTGTTTGTAGACCATCATCATTTTATCTAAATAATAGTGCTGATTATATTAAAAAAAAGCAATCAAAATCTTCCATATTATCATCATCTATATTTAATATTACTTATTTGAATAATATTAAATTACGTCAACATTTGAAAGCATTTCAGGGTATAGTCATACTAACAATAACAGCAATCTTACTTTCATGTATACCAATATTTTTTCATGAGTTACGTTCAGTAGAAGCATTATCTGACTCACACATGTTTGATTCAAATAAAAAAACAATAAGTCATATATATTTCGTTACATGGAAACGTTGTTACTATAGTCGTAAATATGAATATATTTATGATATTATCGGTATTCTTTTATCAACTGTTTTACATATAATTCCGTTAACGTTTGTTACCGGTATGAATCTAATGATTATTGTAAGATTACATAAGAGACAAACATTATTGTCATCAGTATCGACTACTAAATATTTAAATGTACATCTTACATTATCGTCGGATATTCCTGCAGGTGATTTATCCTTATGTTCATTACCATCTTCACCAAAACGACAAAAAAAAATTATTTTACCAACAAATATTGACTATTATGAAAAACGTGCCTCATTTGCTGGTATAACGTTTAAAACGTGTCCAACAAACAGAAAACTTACTAATTCTGAAATTAGTTATAAAAATCAATCAACTAATACAACACTTTCAATAGATAATGTGAATGTAAATCAATTGTATAAAACAAAATCAAAAAAAAAACTTTCTAGACATTGTTCACGCGATCGTACAATTACAATGATGTTAGTATCTGTTGCCCTCTCCTATCTTGTACTAACGTTACCTTATCGTCTTTTTTGGATATGGAATGTTTATGTTAAACGTTCTCATCCAGAATTATTGAATTCAGCCAATTATTTATTCAAAATGCATTATATTGATCATTTTCTACGAACTATTAGAAATATTAATTTTGCAACAAATTTTATATTTTTTATCTTTTTATCAAAAACATTTCGTCGAAAATTTCGACAAATATGTGTTGATAGTTTTAAATGTATGATGAATAGACGACAAAATATTAATAATTCATCGAATATTCCTCGTACAAATATTGTTGTTCATGCGACAGACAGTGCAGATGGACAAAATATGTCTAGTCAAATGTAAATTTTTCACTATTCAATATAATCTTTTAAATTAGAATGAAAAATATTTAAAAATAAATAAATAAATAAATTCAATATATTTTTGTATTTTTTAATTATTTTTAAAAAATTATTGCCCGATTTGATTATGAGAGCCTATATTCAAGCAATGTTACTCATATTGATATTATATTATAATTACAAGTATAAAACATGTTGTTAGTAGCGATAGAAAATTGATACTGCCTTTGGATATTTACGTCGTTTGCCAAAATCTAATTTATTGTGGTTTCAACAGAGATGAACAACAAGTTCGATCATTTCCAAGTCGTTTATGATTAAATTTAGGATCAGTTCGAGACTGTCATCTGTTCTTTTAACTTTATTTACAGTTTTCGATATTGAAATCTACTTTTTTCAACTTATCTATATAATTCTATCGTTACTTGATTTTAGATGCAATTGACTGTTCATGTTTTTATCCTATTTTAATCGAAAATACTTGAAGAATACTGAAAACAACAAATCAAAAGTTGAAATTCGAGTCAAGTCAGAAATTTTCCAAATAGGAACTCAGACTTGAGCTAGTTTCTACGATGTCAGCATTTGTTTAGAGGTACTGTAGTAGATAATTAAGTACAGAACTCTATTAGTGGCTTTTTACCTCAATAGATAAAAAAAATGACTTATACAATACGGACATTTACATGACTGAATGTATTTACACAGTGTTATCATAGCCACATGAATGCCGTGCAAGAATGAGTGATGCACAGAACAGTGAGTTTCTCTCTTGGAATACAAAAAATTTAATTTCCGGACACGAAAATGTGGAAATATTTATGTTAAAATCCAACAGTTTTGACATTAAAAGAAATTAAATAAAGTTTTATAATGACAATCATTGAAAAGCAACATAAAAAGAAAAATAATGTGACTAGTAGAAATAAGAAAAGTCGAATAAAATAACGTTAATAAATAATTGACATGAGCTCTGTTCAAATAAAAATACATTCAAAATTTATTATAATACAATTTTTCAAACAGTTAGTTTATAATAAGAAAAAAAAATTTTAATTTTCTAATGTTTTTGCAAGAAAATTTTCATAATTTAGAGTTTGTCCATCTTTCAATAGATCCAATTTTCTCTTCATATAAGTAACTTGTTTTGAATATAAATGTTCAAAATCTGTTCTTGTTTTTAACAATCGTTTGTTAAATATTTGTACAATTTTTTCTACTTCTTTATTAAGTAAGTCTTGAAATAGAATAATCTGATCACTATCACCATTCTGTTGTTTTTTATAATTATTTAAATTAAGTTTTAAATGTTCAATTTCTTGATCACGATCATCAATGATCACATTTAAATTGGCACATGCATTTTCTAAATTTTTGACATCATCCAATAAAGAGGCATAACCAACACTAATCCTATCAAATAATGAACGTTCAACAAATATTTTATCTTCAATCTCTATTGTTTTGACTTGTTCATGAAACCCTAAATAGAAAGAGAATGTAAAGATAAAGTGTCGATGTTACTTTCTGTAAGATTAAATTTTTGTTATGCTAACAAAACACAGTATCAGAGATGGGCAACTCCGGCTAAGTTCAATTCCAACTCCGTTTCAACTCCAACAGGAACTTATTTTGTCTTTATTCATTTTCTTCTTTATTTTATTAGTAGTTGTTTATTTCGCTTTTGTTTACAAGAGTACACACAAAAATAGTCATTTTAACAATTCAAAATTGCATTTCAATAATGTTAATTTTGAAAGCGTACTTTTTGTCATTCTACATCGATGAGATTGGAAAAGAAAACTACTCTGTGAAAATACTCTCTCTCTACTGGTGCCGACGTGGCAGGTACGCATAACAATTTTTGAGCTAATTTACTTAAAATCGGATATACTGTCTTATTTTGAAAAATAAGTGAACTATTTTCACTTTCTTCTTTTAGAAAACTAATTATCTCGTCTTGAATAGAATTTTGTATTGTCAAAAACAAAAAAAATTTTCAACTGGAGTTGAAAAAATCTGAACTCAACTCAACTCTAATCTAATAAAAACGAAACTCCAACTCAACTCCAACTCTACTAAAAAGAAGCTTAACTCCGGAGTTGCAGTTGCCCATCTCTACATAGTACGATATCCAACTATATTCCTCACTATGATTTAGAAGACTTACCAGTTGTTGTATTGGTAGATATTTGAAATTCTTTTAATTTTTCTAATAATTCTTCTTTTTCTTGTTTAATCTGATGCATATTTTCTTCGAGATTTTGAATAATTTCAGTTTGTTTCTTTAATTTTAGTTCATAGTCTATATGTAATTCTTGAATATCCTTCTGATGTTTTTCTTCAATTTCTTTATAATTTTTTAATCGCTTACTAAATGTCGTATATTGTCGATCTAATAGATCAGTGTCTCCAGTTTCACTATTTGTTGACGATGTTTCAGTCATCTAAATAACATATTCATAAAATTTTACAAGTACTCACACACATAAACCAAAACAAAAAACAACAGAAGATATATTAGTATTAATAAAGTTTTGTCCATATTGCAGTCATTACTCTAGCTCAAATGTACACACTGAAGTAAAATTGTTTTTCTTTTTCCACTGATCGTAATTTGTTACCGAGGATAAAACACATAGACAGTAAACATAAGTCTTTAACGAAAAACACAATACGAAGATATCATCCGTGTTTTTGGAATCTGATTTTTCGTTTCCAAGTACACTCTGTTTCTGCAGGCACAGTGCACATATACACAAAAGTACAAAATATTAGAAAATATAAAAAACAGAATGTACAAAAGCGAATAAAAAAATTTTGTTATAAAAAAGAAAAGCTTTTTTTGCAAAACGGCCTGAAAAAGATTAAATCAAAACCAAATATGATGTCGTTTTGTATACTTTTTAAAGACGCGTATGTGTATTGAACTACCATTTTGAGAACGGAGAAAAACGCTGTTTTATGTAGAATTTTTCGCTCTTTCTAGCAATAGTCCTACACAAAATTTTACTATTCAATTTTAGGTAGAAAAAAACACTTTCGTTTGGATCTTTGTAGCATCATACTGAGATAAATCTTTTTTCCTGACATGATGTCTCTCTCTGTCTCTTACTTACAAATTTGCTGAATATTTGTAAAAGATGAGAACACTCAACAATCCTCAAAAATTAAAATCTGTAATAGCCAATCGATAAAAGTCGTCGAGTTGAGTATACTAACACCCAAAACAATCATTAATAGCTAAGCTTTTTTATAAATAAACATCCACTAACACCTAAAAAAGTATGCCAAGTTGATCAACATGACTCTCTGAGCCCACTGGTACATTTTTTTGATCGCTTGACTTTTTAAAAAAAATTAATTGTTTTCCCATGTCGTACCTATAGTAAAAGACCTTTTCCTAGTTTCAAAGTCAAGATGTTATATATCATTAGGAAGTCCATAAAATTTTCTGCTAAACCACTACTTTGAAAAATTATTTATCACATGTTTTATTCGATTTCACTATGTAAATTGTATCCTTGTGCAAATAGAACACATGTCTGTGAGTACTTACGTATCTTTTCTCTCACACACTATGTTTTGAAACAATGATTATTCGCCTGAACAGAATTGTTTCTTGACTAAGTGGAATTTGAGACTTTTGTATTCAGTCAGTTCGACAAGCTCTATCGATCGGCTATTTCAGATTTTAATTTCGGGAATTGTTGAGTGTTCTCATCTTTTACAAATATTCAAATTTACTGTATCAACCGAGTATAAACTAAGTTTGATTGACGTCTAGTTTTCCTTCTTAGACTCTAGTTCACTTGTCCGAGTGTTAGACAGTTGTAATCGTATCTCTGTATGATGATTTATTAGAGAAACTAAATCAAAAATAAAAGTTATCAGGGCAAAATTAATGCAAATCAGAAAAGTAAACAAGTACAAATATCAAAACGGAGATAATCATCAAAATACTTTTCTCTATTCTCAAAGTGAAACAAAACAGAATGAAAATGGTCTTTTGTCAAGTTGAATATCACTTTGCTCACAGGGGAACTATTAATTATTAGAAAGCAAAGTCTAATTCAGCTCTCAAAGTGTTTATTATGCAGGCTGTTGTTTTCGCAGTGTACAACAGAGTGTATATTTATTTTTGAGATAATTTCGTACATTTTGCTTCCGTAGATACACTTGATTATTAAAAAGGATGGACATCACCTGAGGGTGATTATGATTTATTCATGACAGAATTGTGTTATGCTACGCATTTCTATGTCGTACATCGATTTCCTTTATGCCATTTAACTAAAAGAGAAATCGGCTACTATGTAATATTTTCATTCACTTCTGTTAATTTTCTTCACGTTTAAATGTAACTTTTTATCCAACTGAGAAAAAAAGAACATAAAACGATAACAGGTACATTTGTGAACAGAAAGTGCAATGAACCGTGACTATCCATACACATGTTTCACATATACACTAGTTTGTTTACTTTTGACGCCAAATAGCAGCTCCCGAAAATGGGTGACCGGAATAGGAACATCATATGCTATGATATGGACGATACCATTGGACAAAACTTTATTGAATGAGAATCTCTTGATAGATGTCGTACAGTATCGTTCTTATATTAAATGGACTTTTTGAAAATCACCGAGCATTTTCTATAAATAATTCCCGACATTACAGTGTAGTCGAGACTCCCGACAAAACTCCCACGGAGTCTAGCCGGGATCCCGTGGGAGTCAAGTGAGACTTTCAAGGAACTGCTGTGGAACTGTGAGGACTTTCGAGTCCTGCGGGAGCTCAACGAAAGTCCTCAAAGTCTCACGGGAGTTCCTTGAAAGCTCCACCTGACTCTCGCGAGAGTTTTGTCTGGAGTCTCGACTAGGGTTATTTAGTTATTCGTGTTCGCTTATTATTAGATTTAATATATCACCTGTTTATTTAGTGATAACTTGATAAGCATATAGTAGTTTTTGAAGGAAAGAGAGTATGAAAGATTCCACTTTTTCTTATTTGTTGAGTCTTTCTCTCAGAGTGATTTCTCTAAATAATATCATTGTTGCAGGATCATCCGAGTTCCACAATCTGTATATGAGTCTAAGCCCTGTGATATAAAGATGTTCGATTTGAAGTTTTTGCTTCTCAATGAAATAGAAAAAAATTGGAAAGAGTAAACAGAAGTGAGGTAGTGCATATGCAAAAAAAGTTTTCTTCTCATAGATACGTGTGATTTTGGTAGAACGGAATTTTATACTTAGTGCATTGTAAATTTCACGTATTCTCCTTAATCTTTCTAAAATATATTCATTCCAACCCATTTTAGTTCAAATTTCAACACCTAAACACTTGAAAAAATTTATAAAAGCAATCAGGGTTCCTTTATATGTGAGTTGAGGTTTCTTGGGAGTTACAACGCTGTGAACAAGGAGCACTTTCGTTTTGAGGACATTGACAGGTAGAATATTATCGTCTGAGAATTTCTCTAATGCTTTTAACACAGTTTGCGCACGTTTTTCAAGGTCTTCGATGTTATGTGAAAAACGCTTCTCGAGGGACCCAGTTAAGACAATAGCTAAATCATCTGAAAAAAGCAATGCTAACACTACATCAAGTTGTTTAATTTGCTTATTTATTTAAGGGAAGGGGGCACCCGTTTTTTTCCAGCAGTTTGAAGAGGACACTTCGGAGTATATGTCTCAACAAGGCTTTCGGTTCCCGGATTTATAGTTTTTGATTAAAAAAAATTTTAAGTTTTTTTCGGATTTTTTGCCCTATTTTTAAAACTTCCATAAAAACTTCATTTTTTGATATGAAGAGTTGATTCTAGCGTAGTTCGATAGAGAACATTAATTTGTATACGGAGAAACCCTTTTCATCGTTCCCGAATGAAGTTTGCCGCAGAAATTTAGCGTTCGCCTTTCCGAGCTAAAAGTATTTTTCACCTCGCCTTACGGCTAGTTTCGCTCGAAGCAAGCATTTCGAAGCACAATTCTGAGTGCAAAGTTGTTCAGAATCGAATTTTGGAGTCCCTGACGAGAGCTTTTTTTAAATTTTTTGTTTTTGATTTTTAAATTAAAAAATACGAAATTTTAAAATTTTTAAAATCCTAAAATTTAATTTAAAAGTCAGAAACAGAAAATTTTAAAAAAAGCTCTCGTCAGGGACTCCAAAATTCGATTCTGAACAACTTTTACACTCAGAGTTTTGCTCCAAAAAGGCTTGATTCGGGCGAAACTAGCCGTAAGGTTAGGTAAAAAAATCTTCGGTGAGCCAAAAACCATCGATATTTTTAAGTTTTGAATTTTTTCTTCAGGCCTTCCCGGTCTGTAGAGGACACTTCGAAGTGTACATTCGAAAGTTTTTTCGGCTTAATGAAATTATTTGGCTGAGAAAAAATTAATTACTTAAACAATATTGTTAAATTTTCGACTGACCAGACTTACCGAGCGACTGAAAACGAATTCTAAAATATTTAAGGTAGTCCATATTGTAGCCCGTGAAATTCTCTTTCAGATGAAGTATTGCTTAAATCTTTTTGTTGCGTTGCTATTTTACAAATAAGACTTTATGCTAGTAGAGTAGGCTAAATTAACGTTAATTAGTACTAATTTGTCAACAACAATTCAAAAGAACAAAAATTCTTGCATGTTTTCTCGTAATAAATATTCTCCACACATTTCTCTATCGATCTAGGCAAAAACCAAGGTTTTGTGATGAATGGAGGATGGATAGGAATTTTTTTAATAATAATCCCTTGTTCAAAAATTTAACAATATTTTTTTAAGTAATTAATTTTTTTCTCAGCCAAATAATGTCAGTAAGCCGAAAAAACTTCAGAACATACACTTCGAAGTGTCCTCTACAAACTGGGAACGTTAGAGAAAAATCTAAATGGGAGACCTTCCCCCTTAAATTATCTTTGTTCGATACTTTTGTTGTTTGGTTTGAGTTATTATTATCACAGGCTCAGAACCCCTGATCGATCTCACCTCCTTGAATGAATTATTATTAGAAAAAATGCATAAAGGTTAATGTCATGACAAATTGTGAGTATCCTCGATATAAGCTCACCTTGTTGTTGATGCGAATATAAGTTCAGTCTAGTTGACGCACAGATGATAGTAGCACAGAAAGTGCTACTATCACAGAATATGACTGTTATTTGAACTAATAAAAAGTGAAGATAAATAGTTTTGAAATTCATGTGTTTGCTTTACATATGTCATTTATGAATCATAATTGTAGATAATGATGTTTTCGATTTTAAATCAAAAACAAAGTTGAATTTTAAATCGTAGAAAAAATTAGATACATTATCTCATGTTTATCTCATAAAATGACATAAATATCAATGAAAAATTATTCATGTTGTTGAAGTAGTTTTAGAAATCTGTATCGTAGTTAAATACTTTCGTGCAACGATTATTCTTTAGTAAAATATGTGCTTTCATCTTTCGCCCTATTTTATGTAGGATATTTCTTATATTAAGCAAGATACGATATATGATATTTACATAAGTTTTTATATTTACATCTTACATAAGTCCTAGCTAAATGTCATCATTTTATTCTATAAAAAACATCATGAATTTGTTAAGCTTGAACTTATACAAAAACAATCTTAACTTTTGTTTTACTATTATTATTACTGTTATTATTTCTATCCAAAACTCGTAAATATAATCATTACCATTAACAGGTAAGATTGTAATAAGAATGATTAATTTGTTTTTTATATGCAACAGCGAAAAACTTATATGTTTTTCCATTTAGTTCATAAAAAATGGCTAATGCTATTTTTCAGTCAGCTACTGATGCTCCAACATTTGGTTCATCACCTCGAGGCCGCTCATTATCGATAACAGCCTTTCCACCTCGTTCAAAATCATTTTCCGTAAAGAATCCCGCATTCCATCAAACCGGTTTGAATGAAGCTCTTGCAGAAGCTCGTAAAAGTCTTGACGAAGGTGGTATGCCAATTGGTACAATTCTTGTTCATCATGTTCAAGGAATTGTTGGTCGAGGTCATAGTCAACGTATACAAAGTGATTGTGTTATTCATCATGCGGAAATGATTTGTCTACAAAATGTTGGACGAAAACCAGCATCATTCTATCGTGATTGCACATTATATACTACATTGTCACCTTGTTCTATGTGTAGTGGTGCCATTATATTCTACGGAATACCATCGGTGGTGATCGGCGACAATAAAACAATTAGAGGTGCAGAAGATTATTTGAAACAAAACGGTATCGAGGTTGAAAATATGAATTCCGATGAATGTGAATCTTTGATGAAAAACTTTATCGATACACATCCAGATATATGGCAGGAGGATAATCCGCAACTGATAGTTACAGTATCCCAAAATAGACGAAAAAGCACTAAGACACATTTGTAAGAAAACACAAAGAAAAAGGCAATAAAACTTTTTTTAAATTTTGAGTATTTGGTTAATAATTACATCAACTAGAAATTGAGAAAAATAGTTCAGACATATTGCTATAAAGAACTTTTAAGTAAGGTTTTTATTCTGAATTAAAGTTGCTATTTTAATGTTAATTACAAAAACATCAGCAATTTTATTTTGTTTAGTCTATTCGTCACTTTACCCAATAACTAATAGTATTACGCCTTTTATAGCATCTCAGATTGATCTGATTGAAATATATATTTTGAAACTTATTTAACTATTTGATCTGAAGTAAAGTACCTGCAGTTCAAATATTGAATAAATTATTTCTTTTCCAATGAAGTTCATCGATTTACATAGAAAAATGCAAATTTTGATTTTTTTTGGAAGATTTTTTCCGAAAAAGTGTAAAAATAGCAAAATTTTTAACTTTTCGTTAAAATATAGTGAAACTTTGAAAACTAAGTAAAAATGTCGGCTATTTTGTTTCTTTTATCTCTTAAATCTGTTTTATTCTGATGCAGCATGTAGAACGGAGTATACAAACAAATCAACGAAACATGAGCAAAACTGTCAGACCGCTAATTATTCATTCTACAATCCCAACTAGTTGTTTTGTCGGAAACTACACATATAGGTAAAAATATTTGGCATGTGGCTGTATGTCACCTCTATTTGAACAAGGTAGAAACTAGAGAACATATAGTCGAGATCTCTAGCGGATCTTCAGAAAATCGTTATCAAAAAATGAGAAGAAGATTATTTTTTCTAAATTAACAACAGCGGTGATTAAGTTCAAATTTATTTAATTAAAAAAGATCTAACGTTTCGACTCTTCTTATAGTCATTTTCAAAGAAGAATATACAGCATTATTGTACTTTACACAAAAAACATTATTATTAAAAGGAGAAAAACTTATAGAATTATTAGAATTAACAATTATTGAAAAAACCTCCAATACCAGTTCAAAATTTATTTAATTTTAAGGATAAAATACCGAAAAGTCTAATGTTATTTATGATGTTAAATGTAAGAACTGTAATTCATGGTATATGGGTAAAACTAAAGTCGACATGCATGTAGACGACTCTATGAACAGGGATTACCTAAGGATACTTATGGTTCTCAATCGTCACAGTCATTATCTACTATTAGTTATTGTTAGATTATTAGGGGAGGAAAATAATTCGAAGTAATTGCACGTTTTGAAAATTGTTGAGCCTCACATTTGTTAATATTCAAATAAATTTCCAATGTTATACACCATTATGTTATTTTTCAAGATCTCTGTTTAATATATCTGAAGAGTGTTGAAGAGGTGGACTATAGAAAACAAGAGAGGCATCGTAGGCATAAAGTTTAAAGAAGGTTTCACGATTTTCCGATGAAGCTTCGATATAAACAAGAAAGAGCAGTGGATCCAGGATGGAGTCCTGAGATACCCCGTAATTTATCTCTAAAACGTCAGAAGCAAAACTGTCTATTACTGTCCTTTAAAGTAATTCTCTACCCAACTTACAATCTATTCATTGACACCTTTTTGTCGACGTTTAAATATGGGACCTCTATCGAATCGACCTCTCTCTCTAGCAGTATCAAATGCTCGAGAAAAGTTAAGAAAAATTGCACGCACAAAGTTCTCCTCTTCCAAACCTTCATGAATGTAATGTATTAGGCTTAGCTGATTTACGCAAAAATCTCGTTTCACCAATCCAGATTGATGAGCAGAAATAAGTTTGTTAGAAAAGATAATTATAAACATAAGTGAAAATTACTCTTTCCATTATTTTACCGATAATAGTGTAATTGGTCGGTAATTTTCTACTTCATATGCGCTACCTTCCTTAGAGTAGAGTCTCATGCTCTAGATCCCGGTCGGGATATCTAACCCGTTTTGAATCAAAATATATTCCGAGTGGGGTATGGTCAAAAAACATAGAGTCCCGATCGGGATATAAATTCGATTTTTTTAAATAAAAATTCAGTAGCGAAAAAATGACGATGTTCGCGGAAAATTTTCACCACACCGCTGAAAAGGGCGTTAAAAACTATATCAGATTCTTTTTTGCTTATGATCAAGTCTTTTTTCCGGTCAGCAAGCTATTTTTAAATAATTCTCGAGGTTCATATTCTATCGATCAAGATATTTTACTTGTTTTACTAGCTATTTTTAACACATTCTCGAAACATCTTAATATTTTCCCTTACTCTGAACATACATAAGATAGCTACATTCAGTAAAATATCCAGTTAAAGTCACGGTGTGCTTAAAAAACGTTTTCGGATGCGTAAATTGCGTTCAAAAGTTTAAAGTTTAAGCGTTTGCAGCACCGAAGCGTTTGTAGCACTCAAGTTCTGGCGGCTGATATGTTGTGTTCTACATTACCTTTGCGCTACAAGTGCCACATTAATTAGTTTTTGGTGGTTTTAAACTACGGGCCTACTGTAAGGAAACCATATCCCGATTGGGATATGGTTCCTCACTGCTTTATATATTAGGGTAATGCTATCTGCTTTCAGAACTTGAGGAAAAGAAGAAAGTTTTAAACTGGAATTCACGAGATCATAACTGATAGATGCTAGCACGGGTGTAGATTCTTTTGTTATTCTTGCAGTTAAACTCTCAGCAAGTCCCTTATTTGGCTTGATTTTATTCATGTCGTTCATTACATTTACAGGTGAAAAGGTTACAGGTGACACTCTAACTGCAGTTGTACGATGAAAAGGTGAACGATTTTTATTAATTTGGGATGAAAACATAGTTATTAAATAGTCTCGCCTACTCTTTAGGATTGTCAGTATCTACGCCATTTTGTATGCTGATCGATGAGATACCGCTTGTCTTACTTCTGCATAAGGTCTTATTTACTAGCGCCCATTAACTTGAGGACGAAATTTTTGCGTCTTGTACGGCTTTTGGTTTTGTCTTACCTCCATCACTCTGCCTATTAGATAAGTGTCTAAACATTTTATTCATTTTCCGGTTCAAACAGAGTTAACAAATACCAAAATTACAGTCTCTAATACTCAGACACAGTGTAAAATAGTGTATCTGTCATTTTTCTATGTGATTAAACATCTGTAGATAAGATAGTTGGCTGAGGAAAAAGTCAATACAATTAATAATTAGTGAAAATGTGAAGGTCTTCTAGAGCCTCTCTGAAAATTCGCTGAAGATCCTGACTATATCTCTGCTAGTGTCTACGTTATTTTTACCTATATGTGTAGTTTCCGACAAAACAACTAGTTGGGATTGTAGAATGAATAATTAGCGGTCTGACAGTTTTGCTCATGTTTCGTTGATTTGTTTGTATACTCCGTTCTACATGCTGCATCAGAATAAAACAGATTTAAGAGATAAAAGAAACAAAATAGTCGAAGTTTTTATTTACGAGGGAACCCTCCGAACTTACAAATCGCTTTCAGGCCGAAACCTAGTGGACTATAGGTGGTCAACCATGCTGATTCCGAATATCAGTATGAGACGTGCTGCTTCTAGGCCTCCAGAGACTGGTTTTCTGAAAAACCACTTTTCCAGAAACTCTCAGAAATCTCCGAAACCTTTCTTAATAAGTCATATTTGTAGCACACGAAATTCTGATTAAAATGAGATATCGTCCAGCTCTACACAATCTTTCTTGGCAAAGTTATAGAATTTACAAGAAGAGCCCTAAACTCCTTTTACCTTTTTCTTTCTATATCTCTGAGCTGACAATGAACATCTAGCGCTTTTCTTGTAAATTCTATAACTATGCAAAGAAAGGTTGTGGAGTGCTGGAGGATGTCTCATTTTAATCAGAATTTCGTGCGCTACAAACATGACTTATTAAGAAAAGTTTCGGAGATTTTCGGGAGTTTCTGGAAAAGTGGTTTTTCAGAAAACCAGTCTCTGGAGGCCTAGAAGCACGTTTCATGCTGGTATTCGGAATCAACATGGTCGACTACCTATAGTCCACTAGGTTTCGGCTTGAAAGCGATTTGTAAGTTGGTAGGGTTCTCTCGTTAGTTTTCAAAATTTCACTATATTTTAACGAAAAGTTTAAAATTTTGATTTTGCTACACTTTTTACAGAAGTCTTCGAAAAAAAAATTGGCATTTTTTTATGTAAATCCATGAGCTTCATCAGAAAAGAACTCATTTGTTCGATATTTGAACTGCGGGTACTTTACTTCAAATAGCTGAGTTCGGCAGAAGTTATCAGATATTGAATAATTTATCATTTGAAGGTGATCCAAGGTGCGAAACATATGCTTATGAGTTATAGATGATATAATTTTACCTTAATTTCTCGATCTATGATTTTAACTTTAACTGCACTGTGATTGTATAATTATTATACAAAAAACTATAATATATTATATAAATTAAATTTCAACAAGTGTTTATAACCATAATCTTAGTCTTTTCTTTGACATTTCTAAATGGAATTCTCTGTTATTCAAATATTTTTCAACTATCATTTTCGTTATTTGTGTCTGACGCTGAGTAAATAATATTTCTTTACTATGATTTCGTGTTCGAATATCCACATACATTAAATGTTGTTGTTGTTGTTTTAACCAAACGTTCAGTGTAAAATCCAAATCATTCGATATTGAGTCAATATATGATTGATATTCATTTACAATTGTTAATAGAAAACGTTTTATATGGGGAAAATACGTTGATAATAGATTAAAATTAATGTCATTTGTATTTTTAATCAAAGATAATTCAACAATTTTTGGATAACAAGAATTTGGACTAATATCTAGCAGTAATTTAGTAAATATTTCTAAACTTTGTAAATTTGGTGTTGAAGAAAGTAATTCTTGAATTAATTGAATCTTTGGTGTAGAGAAATTGTGATAAAATTTCAACTGATGAATATTTTCAAACTAAACAAAAAAGTAATAATTTAATACAGCTCCTCCCACTTACGAGAAACCCTTCCGAGATGATAAATTGCTTTTTGATCGACATCTAGTGGGTTATAGATTATCGACCATGCTGATTCCGAATATGACCATGGTTGTTGCTTACATTTTAGAATTAGACATTGAATGACTACACTGTCAAGTTTTTTGGAACACATGCATAATACGCATTGTTATGTGATAGTTTTTGTGTTTAAGTGTAGGATATGAGTGTGCCTCTTTTTTGGGCGTATTTAAACTTTCACGATTATTTTCTTCGTTTAAACGCAAATAATTGATTTTACTTGAACTGTTGCTGTTTAAACGACTACAAAACATATTTGTGTTTAAATGCGACTATTCTATCTTTTTGTTTAAACGTCCATTTTCAATTAGTACGTTTAAACGAGCAACTATTTTATTTACATTTAAACGCTCAATGTATTTGTTTTACGTTTAAACGTTTTCTTTTTCGTCTACATTTAAACGTACATAGTTTTTAACAATCATTTCTTTCTTTCTAATTCTCTTTAAGTTTATTTTCGGTTAGGTGAGCTTAGACTACCGTACTTTGCCTAGATACAGCAGTCGTGTTTACTTCTGTAAGTCCGATGAACTCTAAGTAAATGAATAAATGATGAAAGTATTTTCGATAGAAAGAGCGGAGTACGACATGTTCGACGTTTGCACAACTTCTTCTATTTTCTCCACCGAAGAATTTTTTACATAAACATTTTGTTTTTCCGTTTAAACATTTTTTTGTATACCCGTTTAAATGCACTGTTTTTATCTTCTGGCTTAAGAGTAGAATCAAGCCCAAAACTAAAGAGTATGATTTGTGTAAAGTAGAAACAGTAGTGGAAGAAAACAATTAATTAACAAAAGATTGGTCAATAATGCTCTTATACACTTACTAACGCAGTAGTGATACGTATTTTTCCTAATTAAGATACGAATTTCTGAACATCCACTCTTTACTAAAAAGAAAAGATATAAAAATTTATAAATGACAAAAGATTGTCAACGTCTATTTTTTCATACAATAAATCAAGATTCCCTCCATGGTCAGCTTAGCTATCAGATATAACATCACAGGAAACGCATGTAAAAGAGATAAACTTCCCTTTGTTAGTTTCATTTCGTGTTTAAACGAATGGAAAAACAAACATGCATTTGAACAGTCATAAAAAGCGAGCGCTTTGCAAAATTTTCTGTATTGAAAACGTTTTTTCTCAAAGATTTAAAAATGTGCGTTTAAACGTGAATTATTCATTTTTCTGTTACAAAAAAAAAACGCAATCGTATCCGGCATTTTAAACACAAAAAAGTACCGTAATGAGTACTACCGCTACAATATTCTAGCGAGTATTATTTTGAGAGAACAAAGATACACAGTTTCAACGATTACCTTGCAATTAGTATCAATTTTTTCATGATTATAATTAAAAATCGTTAAACTATTCACAGATTTGAATGTCGTATTTAATAATGTAAACGTTTCTTTTGATAATGAATTTAAAATTTGAACACTGGTTACATTCTTCCATACATTATTTCTTCTTATAACATTATTGAATCGACAATTTAATAATCCATCAGAAAATGATGGTAAATCTGTTATACATCCATAAGGAAGTGAATAAACTGCACAAACTTTATTTAAATGAATATGACAACCGACTGACAATTGTCGTGATAGCCAAAAATCTGTATTAAATGTTGAAATAATTAAATCGGGATTAAAAAAATTTAATTGAAAATTTGTATCTTGAAAATAAAATTGAAATTTTTCTAAATATTTTAATTTATTTAAAAATGTTGATGTCAAATAATTACCATCAAACCAATTATTGGGCGTATTATATTCTAAAAAAAGACAAATTTTATAGATATATTTCATAAAAATTGAAATATATACCCGATATTATTAATGTTAATTCTTCTAATTTCTTCAATTTAGTTAACAAACATTCGATAAATAATCCATCTAAAGATGATAACAACAATGTTTGAAATGAAAATACTTTTAATTTTGACACATTTATAATTTCCATATTTTTCATATCATTTGTTTCATTTGTTCTTTTATCTCGACAACCAATATGTTGTTTAATATAGAGATATTCAATATTTGGTACCAAAGTTAATAAAGTAATAATTTGTGATGAACAATGTGCAAGATGAATTGTTAACTGTTTGAGAGTCCAACATGGTTGTAATTCCAATGGAAAAGACGGAAATATTGGCCACAATGAAATATCAATTGAACATTTTTCTAATTCACAATTGTTAACAAATATATTACGCAATAAATCTGAATAGAGAAAATACCATTCAATCGACCATCATATTTGGTCATCGCTTTGTCAGCCAAATTTTCATAGATATTTGCCTCCACATGATGATGATCATCATTTTCCTTTTCATTTTGCTAAGATAATGATGACACTGACTATGACAATGGACAGTTTAAAAAAAACAATGCACGTGACTGTTTTGGTACATATTTTAAGCAGAGGTGCAGAATCTACCCGTGAGATTAGGAAATTTTCCTCGACGGTAAAAGATTATGATCACTGGCGGATCCAGTCCGCGAGCGGTACGAGCGGCCACTATCTTCTCCGCCGCTATCAGTGGCGGGCGATATCTTTAACAAAAAAACTGTTTTTTCCCAGCAGATATCTCGTAAAATAATTTGTTTCTATGACGACCACACGTATCTCGCACTTTAATCGTATACCGCACGTATCAAAAAATAATTCTGGATCGGCCACTAATTATAATAAATTTTCCCCGGCATAAAACAAAAGAAAAACAAAACAATGTGATTTTATTGTTGCTAAAACTACTGTTTCTGTTTAATCCCACATGTCTGGTTCTAGTATTTTCTTGACGTAAAACCTTAAAAAATTTCCCCCAAAAAAATTCTTTTTTCCCCGACGGCCGTCGACGCAAACGGGTAGATTCTGCACCTCTGGTTGTAAGTTAGAAACGGGACCTTCGTCAAGCGTAAGTCAGCATCTTCTATTAACGAATAAGAATTGGAAAATCATTGATTCCGATCGATTTTTTTTCAGAGATGTTTCAAAAACCATATCGTACAAGTAGTCAAAGGTTCATTTTTCACATCAGTCGGTCATCCAAAGTCTCCTTTTCAAGAAAAGTGGATGAAAATGATATGAATTATTTTCCATGCTGAGTCTAAAAAAGCATAATTTGTCCAAACAACTAGACGATAATCTTAAATTAAAGATTAAAATATCCATTTTTGTGTGATACTAACAGTTTAAAAACTTCGGCAAAAATCTATTCAAATGACTTAAAAATTTGGTGACGTAGTGTATGTGGCTTCTAAACGGATTTTTCATACAAACAGTAAGAGAAAACAACTTTAAAGTATTTTTGAAGCTAAAGTTTTAGACTTCAAGTGATGATTTTTATGGACTTATTAATCAGGTCAACGATTTTTTAAACAAATTATGCTTTAGATGAAAAATAATCAAAAATATCATATCTATCCACTTTTCTTGAAAAGGAGGCTTTACATGATCGACTGTGAAAAATGAACCTCTGACTACTTGTACGAATTCGTTTTTCAAACATCTCTGATAAAAAATCGATCGGAATCAATGATTTTCCAACTCTTATTCGTTAATACAACATGCTCTCAGATGTTGACTTTCGCTTGACGCAGGTCACTAACTTAAAATATGTAGTAAAACAGTCGCGTGCATTGTTTTTTCACTCATACAGAACTATCCGATATTCTTTCCAATAAAGATCAATTAATGATATCTATACCTTCAAAAAATGACTCTTTTGTTTTATTCAGTGAGAAATGGAGATCCAATTTAATATTAAATTCTTTTAGTGTTCGAATTGTTTGTAAATATGATGATATTGACGTTGCACTAAATACATTTGTCAAGGAAAGTGACTTTAACTTTAAATATTTAAATGTAAAAAGTTCTTCTATAAATATCGATGAACAACATGCATTTCCACCCAATTGTAGTGTATGATTATGTTGTACGTAAACGGATGGGAAAATAGTACGTATGAAAGTGTTGTAGAGTGTATAAGAAATGTTTGTTAAATCAATTGAATAAAAGTAAGGTTCAATTAAACGTTGAAACCGATAATTCAAATTGAAAAACGAATAAAGAATATCATTTGGTTTCAAATAGGAAAATATCCATAGATAAAGTTCATTTGGTAGATATTCGATCGTTGATATTTGACTGAAATTTAAATATAAAATAAAAGTACACTTAGCTTTTGGGAGATGTGTGGACAAAGTGTCTAAAGAGGAATTGACGAATCGCAATTTTTAAGTGTAAAAATGATGTAACAATTTGCATTTTACGCTTATTTTGAGAATTCGCAGCGAATTGATGTAAACTGTATCGACTTCGTACGGATACTCTAAAAAACTTTTATGAATTTATCTAACGAATTCGTAAACATGCGAACAGAACAAACACGATGCTGATCAATTCGCAAATAATTCGTAAAGTTAGTTTATGAATTCGTGTTCACTGCTTTTAGAACTAGATTAATTCATAAATACTAATTAGCGAATTCGTATTACGAACTGATCTAGCGGTTGAAAATGGATACTTCTCATATCAATTCGCCGTTATTTTTATGAATTCGTAGAATACGAATTGAGGACAAGAAATCTTTCTCTAAGGTTAAAAATAGATTGGTCTCTTCGCATAGTTCTCAACTGAATTTGCTGCTATTTTTATGAATTCGTAAAAAACGGACAAAAATTCAACGAAACACGTTTGGCTTGTTGTGTGAATACTCAGAGCCATCCTCACTGCCCTCTAGACAAAAAAATTTTGTGAAATCTTATAAGAATCTTACTCAATTCTTATATAAGATCTTCCACGAAAGTGACAAGAATTCCGCTGAATCTTATAAGAATGCCACAAGAATTCATAAGAAATTGGTAAGAGTCAACAAAACTCGTACGTTATTCTTATCAGATTCTTACAAGTTTTTGTAAGATTATCCTGCATAACCCTGCATCATATAGGATCCTACGAAACAAACGAAGTCGTTTAGGAACCTATCAAATGTTATGATTCGTATATAGAATTACTAGAATTTTGTGAGAATTATATTGAGAGAGATTTATATTTTGCTAGAAACAACTCATTAAAATGTTTTTCGAAGATACATTTTCTGTAGCAATCAATAAAGAAATTTGTTTCTTTGACCGCTAGTTTTAATGATGAGTCATGCTAGTAACTGTGAGTCCTTTTATGATTGCTTCCAGTGCTTTATTATGACAGGTATGAAAAGAGTTTTGATGCGTATTAGTAATATTCGAGCTGCTCTATTTTCTACGACTTACAGAGTCCGAATTGAATCAGATGTGTATAGAAAAAAAAGGATCTCAAGTAGCGCATTTTTGTATAGATCGGTATGAAAAAGAGGGATTTATGCAAACGAGCAACATGTCGTGCCCTGCATTCTCGCGTCCCACATTTTTATTTTTTGAACTTCATTTTCGTCCTATAGTCATGATAGATTTGGGGAAATAAATCTGGTCTACAAGCAGTAGACAATGAGGACGAGTCATGAGACTGTCCACGTGGGACTAAGATGTTATTATAGAAAAAATTAAATAAGTGGAACGAAAATTATCTAATTCTTGTATGAAACAGTAAATTATAGTAAGAAAGTAGAATATAGGGTACTGATCACTAAACAATGTGATGAAATTGTAATATTTCCATGCTATAAGATTCTAATCAGAATCTTATAGTAATCTTACCAGTTTCTTATATAAGATTCTTATCAACATCTTACGCATTTCCATCGACTGCTTTAGTAAGAAATTCATAAAATTCTTACAAGAATCTGATAAGAATAACGTACGAGTTTTGTTGACTCTTACCAATTTCTTATGAATTCTTGTGACATTGTAAGATTCTTATAAGATTCAGCAGAATTCTTGTCACTTTCGTGGAAGATCTTATATAAGAATTGAGTAAGATTCTTATAAGATCCTTGCAAGATTCTTACATGCTTCTTATATGTTTCGTATCTGATTCTTATATAAGAACCGATGACTAGGGCCCCTCCCGCATATGCACACACAAAGGAGAGAGATTCCTCTTTATTTTCTTTCGCGAAAAACTATCGACGAATTGATACGAAGAGACGAATCTTTGTTTTCTTAATCTCATAGAAAAATTTCTTGTCCTTGATATCAATTCGCATTTTACGAATTCGTATAAATAACGGCTAACTGACGTGAGAAATATGCGAACTAATGCGAAGACACGAATCTATCTATTTTTAACCTCAGAAAAAATTTCTTGACAATAAAATGCGAATTTACAAATTCGTCGGATGTGCTTTGGCATCCACAAATTCGTAAATTCGCATTTTATCGTAATTTTACCAATATCGTATTTTTGTCAATTTACGGATTCGTATACGAATTCTTGGGGACCAAAAAGATCATTTCACAAATTCGTTGATAGTCGACCGATTCGATGTACGAATTTGTAGGTACCCGATAGTTCTTGCCTACGAACTCGTCCCAATTTACGAATTCACAAAAGGAACAAATAGAGGCATCTTTTTGATTCCTTTTTGATTATTTTTGTTAGTTCGCATCAGTTCGCAATGGAATTACGAATTCGCAAAACAATGATAAAATGCGAATTTTTGCATCATTTTTACGCTCAAATATTGTGATTCGTCAATTCGTCTTTAGACAGTTTGTCCACACTAATGGCTTTTGGTACAAGGTGTATGTAGAGAACTTAAATTGAGACTATTCATTTTATGAGTCCATGCTACTTCTTACAAAACAAGATTGATAAAAAATATAGAAAATCGGAAAAAGTTTACTGTTCTATTATATACGAGTACTATTGCTTACTTATGAATATCCATGAAATATACATTAAAATTAAATTAGTACAAGATAAGAACATATATTATAAAGCATGTACACATATAACGAAAAAGGTTTCATTCTGCATTTTTCTGTTCTGAAAAACTCACACTACTTTCTTTTCACTAATGTAGCCTGAGATATGAAACGATGAATAAGCACATCGTCGGATTCGATACTGAACAATATATATCTTGTCGTCTATGACTGTATTAACGAGAGCACAAAGAAGTATCGTCTGTATATTAGCACAAATTTTCACTGCTAGAAATCATCTATGTACGTTCATTCTAGAGTATTTTCTTCGTTCGTTTTTTTCAAGCCAAGATACAAAAAAAACGAATCGTATAAATTCAGTGATATAGATACTAAATGGTGCAACTAAATCATTGATTCTTACAGAAAAAATTACACATAGGACTCGATTTAGGATATCACTTTTGAAAATTTAAAATATTGTATGAATTTGTTTGAAAAGAAATCTGTGATTAACAGCACAGATGTCACAATACAAATTTTTTGAGAAATTAATTCAAATAAGAAATATTCTAAGCTATCAGAAAAATTGTTTTCGTTTTTTTAGACAAATTTCTGTTTCATTTATTGTTCATGTATATTAAATTATTTGTTTTCATTCTTGCCTGTTTTAGCTATTTGCTTTCTTCCTTTGGTTTCTTAATAAGATACCCAGGACGTCGAAAACGGTGCAATTAATTGTCTATTAAATGCCAGTTAATAGCTAATGAAATAGTCATTAAATGGTCATTTTTACACATTATAAATGAGAACGTTTTAATGTCTTAAAATGACATTTTCTAGTAGGCTGAAAACTCCAAGAATAGGCAGTTAATAGATAGTATCATGTAATGGTCGCTTTTGCACCATTATTGGGTGTTAATCAGGGATGCAACGGTAACGGTAATCGCACCTTACCAGTCCAACCGATTACCGTTACCGATTTTAACCCGCGACTATTGCAAAAGCTACAGTCAGAGTTATACATGTGCATTTTTTGTCTCTTCTCCTTTGATACGAAATTTTCTATTAGATATTTTTTCGAATCACTTCTTCTTGCAGAGCAAATTATTGTTTATTTTTCTTCTCTCTTTCTTTTCGATTTTGTTTTTCTGAAATCTCCGTTCATATTCAAGTTTTTTCGGCAATTGTCTTATCCTTTTTTTCTACGATGCTGTAGAACATATCCCAAATTTGGAGCTCCAAATATTTTGTCGTTGCTAAGAAAAATCACTTGTAATAGCAAAATCTTCCATGAGATTAAAATGGCAATATTTTTATGAATAAAAAAGAGAATTTCAACATATCATACACCATTCGATACGCCGAAAGTTGAAATATTTTCCGAGATGCACACGAAAATTTTGCCATACGCTTGACAGTTTCACGAACTCGGGCTCTTTTCGTATTAGCTTTCCTGTGACTGTATTTTAGTGTTTGACTTTACAATGTAATACAACACTGCGCGTACTTTCATCAAAAAAATATAAATACAGCAAAATGACTCGACTAATGTGTATTTCTAACCTATCTTGTTACTTCAAGACTAGTGCATTAACTTTCAAATCAAATCATGAAGTGTCAAATTTCCTTCCAGCACCGTTCGCACTCGAAATATCACCTAAACA